GTTAGTGAGAGAGTTCTGACGACAGTCTGTTAGTGAGAGTTCTGACGGCAGTCTGTTAGTGAGAGTTCTGACGGCAGTCTGTCAGTGAGAGTTCTGACGACAGTCTGTCAGTGAGAGTTCTGACGGCAGTTTGTTAGTGAGAGTTCTGACGGCAGTTTGTTAGTGAGAGAGTTCTGACGGCAGTCTGTTAGTGAGAGAGTTCTGACGGCAGTCTGTTAGTGAGAGCTCTGACGGCAGTCTGTAAGTGGGAGAGAGAAATCTGACGGCAGTCCGTAAGTGAGAGAGAGAGAGAGAGAGATCTGACGGCAGTCTGTTAGTGAGAGAGTTCTGACGGCAGTCTGTTAGTGAGAGAGAGAGAGAGAGTTCTGACGGCAGTCTGTTAGTGAGAGCTCTGACGGCAGTCTGTTAGTGAGAGAGAGTTCTGACGGCAGTCTGTTAGTGGGAGAGTTCTGACGGCAGTCTATTAGTGAGAAAGTTCTGACCTCAATCTGTTAGTGGGAGAGTTCTGACGGCAGTCTATTAGAGTCTATTAGAGAGAGTTCTGACGGCAGTCTGTTAGTGAGAGTTCTGACCTCAGTCTGTTTGTGAGAGAGTTCTGACCTCAGTCTGTTAGTGAGAGAGATCTGACGGCAGTCTGTTAGTGAGAGAGATCTGACGGCAGTCTGTTAGTGAGAGAGAGAAATCTGACGGCAGTCTGTTAGTGAGAGAGTTCTGACGGCAGTTTGTTAGTGGGAGAGTTCTGACGGCAGTCTGTTAGTGGGAGAGATCTGACGGCAGTTTGTTAGTGGGAGAGTTCTGACGGCAGTCTGTTAGTGAGAGTTTTGGCTGCAGTCTGTTAGTGAGAGAGTTCTGACCTCAGTCTGTTAGTGGGAGAGTTCTGACGGCAGTCTGTTAGTGGGAGAGAGAAATCTGACGGCAGTCTGTTAGTGAGAGATAGAGATCTGACGGCAGTCTTTGAGTGAGAGTTCTGACGGCAGTCTGTTAGTGAGAGAGATCTGACGGCAGTCTGTTAGTGGGAGAGAGAAATCTGACGGCAGTCTGTTAGTTAGAGATAGAGATCTGACGGCAGTCTTTGAGTGAGAGTTCTGACGGCAGTCTGTTAGTGAGAGAGAGACATCTGACGACAGTCTTTGAGTGAGAGTTCGGACGACAGTCTGAAAGTGAGAGAGATCTGATGACAGTCTGTTAGTGAGAGAGAGAGTTTTGACGGCAGTTTGTTATTGTGAGAGATCTGACGGCAGTCTGCTTGTGAGAGAGCTCTGACGGTAGTCTGCTTGTGAGAGGAGAGGTTTCTGACTTCGGTCTTTTTGTGAGTGTTCTGACGGCAGTTTGTCAGTGAGAGAGATCTGACGGCAGTCTGCTAGTGAGAGCATAGAATTCTGACGACGGTCTGTTTGTGAGAGGAGAGAGCCCTGGAGTACATGTCCTACTTGCCATAGGTTCATCTCGTTATCATGTTAAGAGCACCTGCATGAAAAGGAGACTGCGTGTGTAACGATGGTTACCTATGTGTCTGCAGGGCACAACCTTGTTCAACACTAAAAACTAGTTTTGTACATTTTTCGTCTATTTGCTCCAGACAGACACAGCAGTAGTAGCAGAGTCAATTTCAGACGAGTAGTTTCCTTGCAACTTGTACCCCTTGCAGCAAATAAACAGGTATATAACACCGCGGAGTGTGTATGTAAGTATCGCCTTCAAAGCCTAACACGACAATTAGTGTACTTACACACGTGCTGTTTGCTAGCGAGTTTAATGAGGGAGCCCCGGGTGGTGTAATATACAGTTAGATTAATGTTGGTGTTTCTTCAGTGCACAGTTTTCCTACTTGCTGACCTTGTCAGAGGATGTACGATGTCTTTGTTGTGGTTTCATATTTTGAAAACAATTTAGTTGTCATTGTAGGGGAAGAGAGTAAATATTGTTTCCCGCCCGCAGTCAGCAATGCGGCAGCACACACATTTCAGAAGATCCTCGGCGTCGAGCTACGATGACATCACTCAGGGTCCACATTGACTCGTGACCTCTATTGTAGTCAGCTGTGACGACATACAACCACTCAGGGTCCACATTGACTCGTGGCCCCTATTGTAGTCAGCTGTGATGACATTCAACCACTCAGGGTCCACATTGACTCGTGACCTCTATTGTAGTCAGCTGTGACGACATACAACCACTCAGGGTCCACATTGACTCGTGGCCCCTATTGTAGTCAGCTGTGATGACATTCAACCACTCAGGGTCCACATTGACTCGTGACCTCTATTGTAGTCAGCTGTGATGACATTCAACCACTCAGGGTCCACATTGACTCGTGACCTCTATTGTAGTCAGCTGTGATGACATACAACCACTCAGGGTCCACATTGACTCGTGACCTCTATTGTAGTCAGCTGTGACGACATACAACCACTCAGGGTCCACATTGACTCGTGGCCCCTATTGTAGTCAGCTGTGATGACATTCAACCACTCAGGGTCCACATTGACTCGTGACCTCTATTGTAGTCAGCTGTGATGACATACAACCACTCAGGGTCCACATTGACTCGTGGCCCCTATTGTAGTCAGCTGTGACGACATACAACCACTCAGGGTCCACATTGACTCGTGACCTCTATTGTTGTCAGCTGTGATGACATACAACCACTCAGGGTCCACATTGACTCGTGACCTCTATTGTAGTCAGCTGTGATGACATACAACCACTCAGGGTCCACATTGACTCGTGACCTCTATTGTTGTCAGCTGTGATGACATACAACCACTCAGGGTCCACATTGACTCGTGACCTCTATTGTAGTCAGCTGTGATGACATACAACCACTCAGGGTCCACATTGACTCGTGGCCCCTATTGTAGTCAGCTGTGACGACATACAACCACTCAGGGTCCACATTAAATAGTGGCCCCTATTGTAGTCAGCTGTGACGACATACAACCACTCAGGGTCCACATTAAATAGTGGCCCCTATTGTAGTCAGCTGTGACGACATACAACCGTTGGTACACGTTTCCGGGTCGACAAAGGCGCCGCATTTCGCACAGCAGAGTTGCGTCCCGTAGTCGTACTCAGGATCCGATGACGGGTAGCTTCCCAGATTCGCCCTGGTTAGATTCGTGGTTTGTCAGCACCACAGCCGTAGTCGTTGATTGTAAGTGACAGAAGACACTTGGTGTCGTCATCTCACTGGCGTCCCTCCCACACGATACACCGTTCCAGGCAGCGTTATGCCCGTCAGCTGAATGTGTTCGATACACTTCGTTATCTTTGCTACACCGCTCTACGGGAGAGTGTTATCTCCAGGCATAGTTGATAGCTGAATTGACACAGCTTATATTTGACACTTATGTTGTGAAAAGAAAAGGAGTCCCGTGTGGTTGTTTTGGGACGAGGTGCGCATGTGACGCGCCGCGAGGTTATTGAGGGGGTAGCCTGTATCTAGGAAGACGCAGTATTCAGACACTAACTCGGAATGATAGCACGTCAAAACCTACTTGAGTTAGAGTAAGACTGAGTGACATATTGAAACCAGCATGTGACACAACCAGCCGACAGAGCTACACTACAACACAGCTTTCCACGGCGTCTGAGACAGAGCTATACTACAACACAGCTTACCACGTGGTCTGAGGCAGAGCTATACTACAACACAGCTTACCACGTGGTCTGAGACAGAGCTACACTACAACCACAGCTTTCCACGTAGTCTGAGACAGCTACACTACAACACAGCTTACCACGTGGTCTGAGACAGCTACACTACAACACAGCTTACCACGTGGTCTGAGACAGAGCTACACTACAACACAGCTTACCACGTGGTCTGAGACAGAGCTACACTACAACACAGCTTACCACGTGGTCTGAGACAGAGCTACACTACAACACAGCTTTCCACGTGGTCTCAGACAGAGCTACACTGCAAGACAGCTTACCACGTGGTCTCAGACAGAGCTACACTACAACACAGCTTACCACGTGGTCTCAGACAGAGATATACCACAACCACAGCTTACCACGTGGTCTCAGACAGAGCTATACTACAACCACAGCTTACCGCGAAGTGTCAGAGAGAAATGTTACAACTACACCACGTGGTCTCAGACAGCTAAAATTACCAGAGCCAGAACCTAGCACATGAGAACGTCAACAAAACACAATGAAAGCATATACTATTTGTTACCAACGTATATAGATCATTCGAAGGTTACGGGATGTATATTGTGACACGGATTTGAACTGTTCGATCCCAAGTTTAGCACAGGGTCTTCACTGTGTGCCTAGGTAAATATCCAGCCTCTTCATCGATGTGTATGTAAACGATGTAATAATCCACACAATCACGTGCCGTTGAAATAGATATGGAGAAACGCCAGCCCATCTTGTTAAGGACTTTATTTCACACACTCCTCGACAGTGCGTGCATCACGGCTCCCCACAACCTCTTTCATCACACCGCCCTCGCTTTAAACCACCCTAACCCTGAGTGGGATTTTTACAGAAAATATTTGAAAGCTTGTTGAATTCTACCCCTTATCGTTATCAAGGGTGGGGTTGGGTATGGCAAAGGGGCAGGACACGTTTAACCCGTATGCCCGTCTGACTTCTTCTGGATTTGACGCTTGTATAGAATTTGGTTAATAAAGAACCCGGCTGTCCCCTATTATTGTACGTATCATGTAAATATTTGTTGATTCTATGTCAAGGATGAGTTGTTGACTAAGTGTGATGTTGTACACTGCATGCACGTTTCTCTGTATTGGTTGTATGTTGCAAAGGCACCGGAATGCCTTTCACGAGTAGATGACAGGTACTCTCCACAAGAAAAACGGGGCTATTTTGTTACCATATTTGTTGAGATGTATACATTTCAAATCTGCCAGACAAAAATAGTTTTACTCTAGTCCCACCGAACGCGATTTGATGGAGATATTATACTACTGGTCATGTTTATTTGTTTCAATGAACTTACGTATCTCACCCGAAGTCCATCGTGGTTATGACAATTTAGATTTGAAAATTTGTCCAACTTGTCCATCTTCCTTCTCATCAACTTGTCCATATTCCTCCTCATCAACTTGTCCATCTTCCTTCTCATCAACTTGTCCATATTCCTCTTCATCAACTTGTCCATCTTCCTTCTCATCAACTTGTCCATCTTCCTTCTCATCAACTTGTTCATCTTCCTCCTCATCAACCTGTTCATCTTCCTCCTCATCAACCTGTTCATCTTCCTCCTCATCAACCTGTTCATCTTCCTCCTCATCAACCTGTTCATCTTCCTCCTCATCAACCTGTTCATCTTCCTCCTCATCAACTTGTCCATCTTCCTTCTCATCAACTTGTCCATCTTCCTTCTCATCAACTTGTCCATCTTCCTCCTCATCAACTTGTCCATCTTCCTCCTCATCAACTTGTCCGTCTTCCTTCTCATCAACTTGTCCGTCTTCCTCCTCATCAACTTGTCCGTCTTCCTTCTCATCAACTTGTCCATCTTCTTTCTCATCAACTTGTCCATCTTCTTCCTCATCAACTTGTCCGTTGTCCTTCTCATCAACTTGTCCATCTTCCTTCTCATCAACTTGTCCATCTTCTTCCTCATCAACTTGTCCATTTTCCTTCTCATCAACTTGTCCATCGTCCACCTCATCAACTTGTCCATTGTCCTTCTCATCAACTTGTCCATCTTCCTTCTCATCAACTTGTCCATCTTCCTCCTCATCAACTTGTCCATCTTCCTCCTCATCAACTTGTCCGTCTTCCTTCTCATCAACTTGTCCATCTTCCTTCTCATCAACTTGTCCGTCTTCCTCCTCATCAACTTGTCCGTCTTCCTTCTCATCAACTTGTCCATCTTCTTTCTCATCAACTTGTCCATCTTCTTCCTCATCAACTTGTCCATTGTCCTTCTCATCAACTTGTCCATCTTCCTTCTCATCAACTTGTCCATCTTCTTCCTCATCAACTTGTCCATCTTCCTTCTCATCAACTTGTCCATCTTCTTCCTCATCAACTTGTCCATTTTCCTTCTCATCAACTTGTCCATCGTCCTCCTCATCAAGTTGTCCATCTTCCTTCTCATCAACTTGTCCGTCTTCCTTCTCATAAACTTGTCCATCTTCCTCCTCATCAACCTGTCCATCTTCCTCCTCATCAACTTGTCCATCTTCCTTCTCATCAACTTGTCCGTCTTCCTCCTCATCAACTTGTCCATCTTCCTTCTCATCAACTTGTCCATCTTCTTCCTCATCAACTTGTCCATCTTCCTCCTCATCAACTTGTCCATCTTCCTCCTCATCACCTTGTCCATCTTCCTTCTCATCACCTTGTCCATCTTCCTCCTCATCAACCTGTCCATCTTCCTCCTCATCAACTTGTCCATCTTCCTCCTCATCAACTTGTCCATCTTCCTTCTCATCAACTTGTCCATCTTCTTCCTCATCAACTTGTCCATCTTCCTCCTCATCAACTTGTCCATCTTCCTCCTCATCACCTTGTCCATCTTCCTTCTCATCACCTTGTCCATCTTCCTTCTCATCAACTTGTCCATCTTCTTCCTCATCAACTTGTCCATCTTCCTTCTCATCAATTTGTCCATCTTCTTCCTCATCAACTTGTCCATCTTCCTTCTCATCAACTTGTCCATTTTCCTTCTCATCAACTTGTCCATCTTCCTTCTCATCAACTTGTCCATCTTCCTTCTCATCAATTTGTCCATCTTCCTCCTCATCAACTTGTCCATCTTCCTTCTCATCAATTTGTCCATCTTCTTCGTCATCAACTTGTCCATCTTCCTTCTCATCAACTTGTCCTTCTTCTTCCTCATCAAGTTGTCCATTTTCCTTCTCATCAACTTGTCCATTTTCCTTCTCATCAACTTGTCCATCTTCCTTCTCATCAACTTGTCCATCTTCCTTCTCATCAATTTGTCCATCTTCCTTCTCATCAACTTGTCCATCTTCCTCCTCATCAACTTGTCCATCTTCCTTCTCATCAACTTGTCCATCTTCCTTATCGTCAATTTGATCGACTCTCCACTTTGCTGTCACCCACTTGTTTTGCTGTCACCCACTTGTGTGTAATTATTAATAATGTAGATTTCTCGATCAGCTTTATCCTCAACTTGACCAACCGTAATGTTATGAGGGAGGATCTGGGCAAATTGCCCGCTGAACGGCGTCCATTTATCCAATGATAATGACTGAATACTTCAATCTGAAAACATTTTTTTTGTTCCGAACATCAATAATGAAACTCCCTGCACCGAACACTCGAATAGTCAGCGACTTCGTTTCCCAGTAAAATAAATTCATTGTCGCTTGAAACATACTGGAGACCGCCTCACTTAGTGGAAAGCACCTTATTACACAAAGGCCTTATTACAGGCTAGGGGGACAGGGGCTGACAGTGTCACCTGTACTGTGGGACACATCGCCCCTTTGCGTGTCAGTCTTTATTTCCCTATATGTGCTCATTGAGTCCCCCTAGGGGCAGGCCTTAGCTGCTCAAGCGTATGTAGTCGGAGTCGGACCCTACAGCCCGTGTCTTCTGAGTAACGGAGAAGTTTTATGCCAATCGATAGAACACTTGTCAGTTCTATTAATGGTGAAATTATTTTTCACATAAATAACTGTTTACACCCAATACGTCATTTAGTTTAAACAAGAGCAGGGATGTAGTGTGCGTCAACCGATCCGCTTCACGGTATGAAGCCTCGGTTTAATATTATTTCACGTCTGAAAAACGAGTACTCACTCAGTAACAAAACGCACGACCCAACAAACAGGAAAGCGTTGACACGGTCTCGAAGTCAATGTATTGCGCAGAAAGCTTTCTTGGGTATTTTGAATTTGACCGAATTAGATACAGTCCCAATTACTAGCACGATGATGATGATATCAGATGATGATGATGATGATGATGATGATATCAGATGATGATGGTGATGGTGATGATATCAGATGATGATGATGATGATGGTGATGATGATGGTGATATCAGATGATGATGATGATGATGATGATATCAGATGATGATGAAGGACGACCAAGTACTAACATAACAACATCAAAGATTTTCTACCTTTGTACTAGATTCATGTCATTGTATCTTAAATGCACATCGCCAAATATCTATAACACGATTATGAGATACACATGTACATCGCCACATATCTATAACACTATCCATTATGAGATACACATGTAAATCGCCAAATATATAAAGAATTCTATCCATTACGAGATACACATATACCGTCAAACATCTATAACACTATCTATTATGAGATACACATGTACCGTCAAACATCTATAACACTATCCATTACGATATATACATGCACCGTCAAACATCTATAACACTATCCATTATGAGATACACATGTACCGTCAAACATCTATAACACTATCCATTATGAGATACACTTGTACATCGCCAAATATCTATAACACTATCCATTACGATATATACATGTACCATCAAACATCTATAACACTATCCATTACGAGATACACATGTACCGTCAAACATCTATAACACTATCCATTATGAGATACACATGTTCATCGCCAAATATCTATAACACTATCCATAACGAGATACACATGTACAACGCCAAATATCTATGACACTATCCATTATGAGATACACTTGTACATCGCCAAATATCTATAACACTATCCATTACGATATATACATGTACCATCAAACATCTATAACACTATCCATTACGAGATACACATGTACCGTCAAACATCTATAACACTATCCATTATGAGATACACATGTTCATCGCCAAATATCTATAACACTATCCATAACGAGATACACGTGTACAACGCCAAATATCTATGACACTATCCATTATGAGATACACATGTACCGTCAAACATCTATAACACTATCCATTATGAGATACACATGTACCGTCAAACATCTATAACACTATCCAATATGAGATTCACATGTACCGTCAAACATCTATAACACTATCCATTATGAGATACACATGTACATTGCTAAATATCTATAACACTATCCATTACGAGATACATATGTACCGTCAAACATCTATAACACTATCCATTATGAGATACACATTTACCGTCAAACATCTATAACACTATCCATTATGAGATACATATGTACCGTCAAACATCTATAACACTATCCATTATGAGATACACATGTCCCGTCAAACATCTATAACACTATCCATTATGAGATACACATGTACTGTCAAACATCTATAACACTATCCATTATGAGATACACTTGTACATCGCCAAATATCTATAACACTATCCATTACGATATATACATGTACCATCAAACATCTATAACACTATCCATTATGAGATACACATGTCCCGTCAAACATCTTTAACACTATCCATTATGAGATACACATGTACTGTCAAACATCATACGTCAACACCGTCAAACCGTCTCTTCTACTGGTAACCAAGCAGGTGTACGTCTATGTGCTGTGTTGGAGGTAAGGTGAGCTAAGCGTATCACATCATATCCGCATGTCATATGAAAACACATTTTTTTTCAAAAACACAGCCACGAACATTTCTTCCCTCGCTTTACTCTGAAAGGGTTGTTATTGTAAAAGAGATGTGGATAAAAGGGGCGGTCAATGATAAATCTTGATGTCAGACAATTCTACTCCGATGGGCATATTCTGACATGCTCTGATTATTAAATGTTCCCAACAAAACCCAGCAGAATATTAAGGGGTGTATTCCTGGTGCAGCACATTGAAATATAAGAGAAGGGGGATATTTTCCTTTAATCCCCGTAATTACAGACTAAGGGTGGCAGAGACTTTCAGATGTAATGGTGTCTGTTTCTTTCAGCTGATAGGCAGTCAAGCATAGTTCAAAGACCCTTGCTTGATTTCCCTTTTTCCGTGTTATTTGTATCTGCTTAAAAATAATATATTGAATTTCAAAGCCATCTAACAGCGAAAGTAGACCCTTAATTATATAACCTTACACACCTGAATCTGTGACACCAGTCACGGCATTAGTACCAGACATCCACAGTAACACCACATTACGACGACACCGCGGTGATTCTGTCTAAATGTGTCACTTGATTGACATTGACACATACGGAGACACATGTTGGGTTATTTTGAGACATATGTTGTGCATATTCTAACTCCCCAAATTAACGGCGTTTGGAACAGACACAAAATAGTATTGTGCTCATGCCCTCATCCCTCCAAGTTAGAAAGTCAGTAGCAACCATGCGCTCTTCGCTTCAGCAAAACATGACTCAATTGGGAAATTGAAACTGACATCGTTATACCTGGTACCAGTTATATTCGACTGGTTCATCAAGTCACAAGCGCTTCTTTCACGAGCTCCGGTTCAACCGTTCCAGTATCCACAGCTGATGAAATAAACCTCGTCCATTCAACGTGCGACCTGTCAGTCACAAGGGGCAGCCTGCCCCATCGACACAGCCAATATCTCCACGCTGTGTATGCTGTCATCCGGGTATTGATCACACGTCAATCACTCCCTGGCAAGACATGGCAATCAGTCTCCTCTCCCCCGACGACCCCCGCCACCCCCTGACACTTTACAGCACACGCCGGGTAGAACCTGCCGTGGACGCAGTTAGTTCATCAGTCTAGACACACAAAGTTAGTACACACTAGGCGCAGTTAATAAATCAGTCTAGACACACGACGTTAGATCGTCAGTCTTGAACTGCTGTTGTAGGTAGTAGTAGAAGTGTTGTTGTGGTAGTGGTAGCGGTGTTGTTGTGGTAGTGGTAGCGGTGTTGCTGTTGTAGTAGTAGAGGTGTTGGTGTGGTAGTCGCAGAGGTGTTGCTGAGGTAGTGGTAGCGATGTTGCCGTGGCAGTGGCGTTGGTGTGGTAGTTGTAGTAGTGGTGTTACTGTGGTAGTAGTAGTGGTGTTACTGTGGTAGTAGTAGTGGTGTTACTGTGGTAGTATTAGAGGTGTTTCTGTAGTAGTAGTGGTGTTACTGTGGTAGTAGTAGTAGTAGTAGATGCGTTGGTGTGGAGGGGGGTAGTTGTGACAGGTCGTGCAACTGGCATCCAGGCAGAGAATCAGCAGCCAGCGGATTAGCCGAAGTGGTGTGAGTTGTGGTGTGCCTCCGCTGTCCCCCATTCAGCAGGGTGCGCCAGGCACGGCAGGGGTAACGTACAGGGACACTTGCCCCAGGGTGGGAGAGCGTTAGTGACAATGGGTGAGGTTTGGAAAAAGGGAAGTGCTGCACCCCTGGCGTCTCGTACAAAGAACGGATGTCAAAACGTTCCTTCTTGAGCGAAATAACACATGCACTGAATGTTTTTGTACGGTTTGCGAAGGCTCAAAACACACACACACACACACACACACACACACACACACACACACACACACACACACACACACACACACACACACAGAGACACACACACACACAGAGACACACACACTCTCTCTCTTTCTCACACACACAGAGACCCAGACACTCTCACGCGCGCACACACACACACACACACACAGAGACTCACACACACTCTCTCTCTTTCTCACACACACAGAGACACAGACACTCTCACGCACACAAACACACGCACACAGAGACTCTCACTCACACAGACACACTCACACACACACAGACAGACACACACACACCATTCCGCACATACACACCGCATGCTCGAGCGCGCACGCGCGCTCACACACACACACGCACGCACACAAACAAACACACACGCACGCACGCACACACACGCACACACACGCACACGCATGCACGCACACCCACACGCACGCACACACGCACGGACGCGCGCGCGCACACACACACACACACACACACACACACACCGTCATGCTTCAACTAAACCAGGTTTAGCCGTCTTTTGTTGAGTGCACTTTTGCACCAATGGCCAAGTTATCGTATGAGTCTGGCCATGCAGTGCGTCAGGATTTGCTTGACTTCTCTTAGCCGTAGGCCTCCAAGCAGCAATGTATTTTCACAATAACTGAAATTACTTAGTATATGTATATGTATATATCGACCATTACTGTCTGGTCTTGGAAGACTTTAGTTAGGTTGAAATGGACCATGCAGCGTAAAGTCATGTTTACAAAGTAAGGCATCATCTCTGGGGTATCTTTTGACCACTTTGGTTCAGTGACCATGACCCCGCACAAACAGGGCTTCGGACAGGCCACATACGCCCACCGACACCCGGTGTCTGCATTTCACTCATGGCACTGGGCGTTACGTCAGTGAAAACATATCTCACTGCGACTCTCAGTACTTCAATGAGATTCAGTTCCTAGTTAAATAATTCCGCGATGATTTAGTGGTGATGAAGGAGACGAGGTGTTGTAGCATCTGTCACAAGACGCGGCTACATTGGGTGAGGCGATCAAGACTCGGTAACGTGCTGGACAGCATGTCATCGTATCCCGACACTAATAGCAAGACTCGATTATTTACCGGCCACTGTGATATATATGTGTGTTCATCAGTTATGGCCTGATGAGACTCGTACGTGGTACGAGTTGAAAGCGCTAGCCAATTAAAACTGTGTTCAATCTTACTCCACTTATTTAATTATTACTATATTATGCCTGAGAGTTGGAACTTTACTGTTCTTTTTCTTTTTCTTTTTATATATATTGATACTGATTGCGGCGTAAGGCAAAACAAAAACTATAAAAGAAACTTAAGGAGTCGCGAGCTTTCTTTTTTAGCAATTTACCCCATTTCCCGACACATCACTTTTTCGAGGTGTTTTATCATCCCATTTTTTGTTAACAAACTCGGTCACGTTGACACCAGTAACTGTGATCATCATCATCACGTGACTCAGTCCATGAGCGCGGCATGCTCTAGTTCTAGGACTAAACATGAATGTTAGTACATTCCTATTGGTGAGTCCGGGTAATCAAAGCGTTACGGCCGCTCCGGTAATGATCGGACTGCTTGACCACACCTGGACGAGTCAGGACTTAAACTGACCTCGTAAATAATGGATGCCTACCCTGCACCTGCTCTTGTTTATGTCCGTATCATTTGTTTGTCATCCTTTCGTTTGAAGTCGCCGATCGATTGTTGAATAATGAAATGAGAAGACAAGGTGTGTTGACGTGTAATAGTTTTATTACTGTCGCCTTTCAATGTTGCAGTTTATTATTCAAGTGTGTGAGAGGTAAATGACTCGTCACGCCGCCATCATGTAAATTGGCTTCTAATGACCTCAAACTCTTACCAAGGGCACGCCCTATATCGCCATGATGCAATGCGTATTTAGAAAAATACGCTTATCGTCGGATTCCTTGTCGTATTGGAGATATGATGCATGATATTTCTATTACATGATGTTTTATTAGATTGAGTTCTATCATTAGAACATAACATGCTGCCTGTGATTTGCTGCGTATTTAGAGCGCCATGCTATGTACGTCTACGTGGGTGAATGGTGGGGGTGTCCATTGATGGATACGTTGCTCGTCATTCCATTGTATTGAGAGTTGAAATATACGGTGTGCTAGCTATAGCATTGGAAATGTGTACTTAAATACATCCACTTGTCTGTTCTTGTACTAGTCCGGACTAATGTGTGTGTTATACTGCTAACCCAGTGAGTTTCCATGCCAAAGTTTAACATGAATACCCCCATTCAGACACAATAAACTGTACTTGTTTAAGCCCCCTAATACCGAATAGAAGGCAGGGTGACAACAAGTATCATCTTTTAACGTCTTTTGGTATGACGCGGCCGGGGATCGAACCACGTACCTCTCCGGGACGATGCTTAGACCACGGAGCTCGCCCTGAAGGTAGGTGTGTTTGCTCCACGTGATGTTTTGTCGTATTTTCACCTACTAAGTATACTGATGTTGGTGAGTCTTTGGTATATATGATTTAAAACGGATATTTCCTGTTGCGTGGTATTCCGTCAGTGACGAGGAATGTACGGCGCACTGTAACGAAGCGTGGTTCCGTTGTGTTAACTACCTGACCATAACGCGCAGTCTCCCCAAACGCCACAACCGTGTTATGTCAGCCGTGCTGGGGAAACTAATGATGACAGCCATGTTGAGAAAGTCATAAATCCAGATGGTCAAATAATTATTGTACTACCTCCTCCTGGGCAGCGTCAGTATCAATTACATAGGTGGTCAACCAATCCGGCCAATAAATACATCAGGTGGACCGATTATTGCTGACCATTGTCCATTCCTCGTTGATTTCTGACCACATGATGTCCGGTTTACGGTCCTGAGCATGATACACCTGGACCATCTCTGAAATGACCCATTGACCATAGCTGGTCAACCAGAAACCTCTGGATGGACACCGAGGGTGGTACTGTCCACTACTGTCTACGATGAGCATAGCATCTTCCCAAACAAGTGGAATCTAAGGCAGTACCGGTGTGTTATTAACGACCCATCAAACGTCAGCGCTTCTCCGTGTGGCTTCATGACGCGCTACACAAAGGGAGGTAATTGCACAGTCGCATTCAGGAAATAGTACATGCAACGGCTGACATCTTTGCTTCTCAATAACCTGTTAGAGTTCGACACAATCAAGCTATAAATTCTACTTCCATTGATGACGTCATAAGGTTACAGCTTGACACATCTGATGCCGACAATGCTGATAGTAAAGACAATTACACCACTAACAGATCTTTGAAGCTGTACATTCTGTGGAGGCAGATAGAGACGTTGTGAAGACGTTGCCCGCAGTGAAGACGTATATCTTTAGTAGTAATTGCGATGCGCATCCAAATGCCCTGTCTGGTTAGTTATTCGGTATAGTTTCTGCTGAAATAACAAATAACTATGTACATGCTAGCAGAGCTATAACTGCATTTACTTACCGCCAGTAGCTTTAATCAAAACTGCCGTGACTGGTACATGTATACTGCATTACCATTTCTCCGCAATGTCATATGACATATATTACTAACTTAAAAATGTATATATTTATCGTGCGATAAAACGTCCCAGAACATTTCCTTCGTGGTTGCGTTGTTCAAAGTTTCACATAAGTTATTTGCTCCATTCCACACGCAAATGAACAGTAGCATGTTAACAATTAAATGTATTTATTCAAAATTGGAAGATGTAAGGTGAAAATTAGAATTCAAAGGCACCGCTTGTATTGCTTTGCCTAGGATCGCTGTACACGGTGTCCGGGATATCATTAGGATGTATGTGCTATTTTCTTGAGGAAGTATTCTGTACATGACAAACGTTGTATTGAACACTTGGCCGAGTGCCAGGAGTCCTAGTCACGTCTCCTCCCTCTGGCACCAGTAGAAGTAGTCGTGTAATAAACGTATAAATTCATCAAGACAAACTTCCCAATATTGAACATTTTATGACTTATTGGGGTAAATAAACCACTTATATATCATCGTAATTTATGCACGTGCGATAATCTCCTTAATTTCCCTAACGACGTCAGTTATCTACGATGGGTATAATTTGACCGTATGGCCCAACGAGGCGATTGTAACACGTTCTAATTGACCGCAATTAATATAATCGCCTTTGGCCAGTCTTGAGCTGTGGAGTTATGCAAGGCTGGCTACCGAGCCCAATGCTATTCAGCCGCAGTGTCGACGGATTAGGGTCTCGCGTTAGTGGGTATCATCCTCACACTGAAGCTGGCCGGAGGAGATAATAGAAGGCTATCTTGACCACTGGTCAGCTGTATCACAGGTAGGGTCGGATAGCATTCAGATGTACACGATAACGTTGGTGTTAGTTTGCTTGGCATCTGTCACGATTATAGTTATAACTTGAGGATTAGCTTATCTCAACACTATGTATGTACACTGATTCACACGGCGAGGAGTCGTTTTAAGTGGCGATAGTGGGAATTTGCTATTATAAATCCAGCCTGATGAAAATGACACCCCAGACGAACACACGTCAGATACATCAGTCTAGGTTTGTTTCAGCAGCCATAACTTGACAAGAGACGCGCAGGTAATGTAAGCAATTCGTGTACAGCCGTTATAGCCATATTTGAGTTGGATGCGATGTTTAGATATTTGTGAACCCCTCCTTACCGAGGGTTTAGCGACGATTATTTTTGCATGTCGATATGTAACTATGTTGTTTTAGTGACGCTGTGAGGAGCATTTCATTTGCATCACTTTTCACCTTATAAGGATATCACGTGACAGTTCGAAGATCATTAATGATATTTGTGAATGTGTGTATGACTGCTGTCTCTTCATCTCGTGTATCTTGTTTTCCCGTTCACCTGTGACTCACTACAGTAAACGCACATTCCTGTCGGTGCCTCTGGGCACAGTGATCAGATCGACAGACACACTGACGGATACACATAAATGATATGTGGGTTAAGGGTTTGGATGTGCGAATGTGCTTCAGGCAGCGAGTCCTGCTGCTCTAGTGAGGATGGATTCGAGCTTAGTTTGTGACCGTGTCCAGATACTGTGAATGTTCAGTGTAATGTGTTTCTTATTCAAAGGTATTACCTGATACTTACTCTTGAATTATCTCCCTCGTCTCTCACTCATTCTCCCCTACTTTCCTTCATTCACTCTCACCCTCTCTCACTCATTCACTTTCACCATCTCTCACTCATTCACTTTCACCATCTCTCACTCATTCACTTTCACCCTCTCTCACTCATTCACTTTCACCCTATCTCACTCATTCACTTTCACCATCTCTCACTCATTCACTTTCACCCTCTATCACTCATTCACTTTCACCATCTCTCATTCATTCACTTTCACCATCTCTCAATCATTCACTTTCACCCTCTCTCACTCATTCACTTTCACCCTCTCTCACTCATTCACTTTCACCATCTCTCAATCATTCACTTTCACCCTCTCTCACTCATTCACTTTCACCATCTCTCACTCATTCACTTTCACCCTCTCTCACTCATTCACTTTCACCATCTCTCATTCATTCACTTTCACCATCTCTCAATCATTCACTTTCACCCTCTCTCACTCATTCACTTTCACCCTCTCTCACTCATTCACTTTCACCCTCTCTCACTCATTCTATTTCACCATCTCTCACTCATTCTATTTCTCCTTCTCTCACTCATTCTCCCTCGTCTCTCACCCACTCCCCTACTTTTCTTCATTCTATTTCTCCTTCTCTCACTCATTCTCCCTCGTCTCTCACCCACTCCCCTACATTTCTTCATTCTATTTCTCCTTCTCACACTCATTCTCCCTCGTCTCTCACCCACCCCCCTACTTTTCTTCATACTATTTCACCTTCTCTCACTCATTCTCCCTCGTCTCTCACCCCCCTACTTTTCTTCATTCTATTTCACCTTCTCTCACTCATTCTCCCTCGTCTCTCACCCCCTACTTTTCTTCATTCTATTTCACCTTCTCTCACTCATTTCCCCAGCTTCTTTTATTCATTCTCCCTCACCTCTCACTCACTCTCCATCCACTTCTCCCGCTCATTCAATACCTAGAATATGCTCCCCAGTATCTATTTGCCCCAAATTCCATCGGAACAGGCGTTCTTATTTCAACGATCATATCGTTCTCTCGCTCTGTGCAACAACCTCGTGTAGTATCACAGTTGTTCACATTGCAGCGATAGTGTTAGACTTGCACAAGTCTCTAAGGCAATAATTATTAGTTTCAATGATAATTCCTAGATTATGTAAATAATAATAACAAGTTGTCCCCATGAGAGACTGGAGTCCTCACTGTCCACATATCTAGACTTGCCTATTAGGAGAATAGAATTACTACACATCCATGGACTTTCTTTCAGTACAGCCTTGGAGCAAGGCTATATAGTATGTCCATTCACATGGACAGGGCCCTTCCTTCTGTTAACACGAGCTGTTGCTCGAATACGCCCGCTCTGAGTAAGTTCCGTGTACGAGTCTAGGACTTTTGTATACGTGTTTGGAGCAATCTAGCCCAGGCCCGATACCATCTCCTGCAATTCACTTCACATGTGTAGCCACGCGGATTTATCTGATGCCTGTACTGCCTTCGGCGTTAGAGTCTGACTGCGGAGAAATAGTTGAGGGTTTCGACACAATAGGGGCTGACTTGTGCCATTATTTTGTGTGTTCGAACATCCGTCCGATCACAGCCGTCTGAACCGGTAGAGGAGGGGGTAGAGACTTGGGGGAAGTCAAAATGTTTAGCTTTGCTACATTGGAGCTCAGAAGGGGATGACAAAGTCTCCGACGGTGTGAAGGGATGAGGAAAATAGTTTATATACAGTTTATTAAACAATGACGCGGTGAAGTATTGGGATGATAGTAAGTTGGGGGGTTGGGAGGGGGGGGTTGGGAAGGGGGGGGGGGGGTGCTCAAGGGGACAAGATGGGCGTGGGATGTGGGAAAGGATGTAGTGTGGAGTTGAGATGGCGTGGGATGTGATAGATATTTGTGGGGATGGATCTTGATTGATGGATGATAGGATGGTAGCGGAAGGTGGGTACGGGATGGATAGATGTGGGGGTGGATCTGGATGGCTGGGTGCGTGGAAGAGGCTAGGTAGGGGATGGGTAGAGGATGGGTAGATGTAGGGATGGGTCAGGATGGTAGGGTGTGATGGGAGAAGGTGGGTAGAGGATGGGTAGATGTAGGAGTGAGTGAGTATGTGAGTGAGGTATTCCTCCCCTTGTAAAGGTAGAAGTAAAACACTGCAGATTAGTATACAATGGTATATAAAGATAGAATGGTAGATAAGGATAGAATGGTAGATAAGGATAGAATGGTAGATAAGGATGGAATGGTAGATAAGGATGGAATGGTAGATAAGGATGGAATGGTACATAAGGATAGAATGGTAGATAAGGATAGAATGGTAGATGGTAGTAAAATGAGGGGCTAACGAAAGTATACCTGGTTTGTTTCTTATGTAATTGAAAGTTGAAAGGACTGTATTAAATTCCATTATGTCTATCTAACCATCACTCGTTCCTCCAATAGCTTGTAAAAAGTAATCTGTGGCTGGGTAATTTTGTGTGAACATATATTGGTTCAATAAATACTGGGGTAAGAATGAATTTGAGCTGTACCGAAAAAGCAGATTTATACAGGTCGATGTTTGTGGGATATAGATGTTTGTTGGATATAGATGTTTGTGGGATATAGATGTTTGTGGGATAAAGATGTTTGTGGGATATATACGTCACTTTGGAAGTGGGTAATAACGACAGTCTAGGGCGATGTTTGTGGGTTGTAGATGTTTGTGGGATGTAGATGTTTGTGGGATGTAGATGTTTGTGGGATGTAGATGTATATTGAACATGGATGCAAGTAGGGTAGAGATGTTATGTTGTATGTCTGTAAAATAACGACAGCCTAGGTCGATGTATGTAGGATAAAGATATATGGTGGATATAGATGCATTTTAGATTATTTTTGTTTGTTGTTTAACGCCGCACTCAACAATATTCCAGCTATATGACGGCGGTCTGTAAATAATCCAGTCTGGACCAGACAATCCAGTGATTAACGCCACGAGCATCGATCCACACAATTGGGATTTGATGACATGCATCAACCAAGTCAGCGAGCCTGACCACCCGATACCGTTAGTCGCCTTTTACGACAAGCATGGGTTGCTAATGACCTATTCTACCCCGGATCTTCACGGGTCTTAGATTATGTGGCAATACACGCACGCTGATAGGTCGATGATAGGTCTGGTTGATATCATCTCAAAGGAAAGCAGAATGCCTCGGGTTTGTGGGGGTTGTTTGGGTGGAAGAAATGTTGTTTACATTCTCGGCCGCGGACATATACTGGAATATTGCTGAGTGCGGCGTAAAACAACAAACCGTCTCAGACAAGTACGTTTCGCAATCTGGACGTTCAATGTGAACTCGTCACTGGTAATAGGATGTAGGACGTCTTTTATTCCAAGTTTGAAATATGTTTATATTAATTCTAAAGCAAAGATAAACCAAGTTTATATGTCATGTTATGAAAATGAATATACACTTTACTTTATGGAGTAGATCTACAAACTTTTAAATGTATGGAAACGTGTGAATATATCTCTTCAGTGTGGAGTGGGCACCCAGCGTTATCCCAAACAAAACCACCCAATAGTAGACAACTAAACTATGATATGCACCTTTAAGTTTAGAAAAAAATATACAATATACGGCGAAAGGTTTATGTATTGAAAATGGAAAGGACTTACACATGAAATAACACTTATGTAAGATGTATTACGTTTAGTGAACAATTTCCATGACACAATTGTGTAATATATAGATTTACTACATCCCGACACCTCCTAGCGAAGAATATCAGGTTAAAGGTCAAACTCATACTTTCCCCTTCTCTGAACATGCGGAATACCTGTCTGGCGTGACCTACTTTCCCCATGGTAGATGTTGGTAGGACATGCTCACAGTGATAGTCAGACAACAGTATCTGTCGTCACCTCCCCCGACCAAACCCCTCCCTCCACCTCACCCCTCGCTCTGTCACACCCCTCCCTCTGTCACACCCCTCCCTCTGTCACACCCCTCCCTCTGTCACACTCCTCCCTCTACCTCACCCCTCGCTCTGTCACACCCCTCCCTCTGTCACACCCCTCCCTCTACCTCACCCCTCCCTCTGTCACACCCCTCCCTCTGTCACACTCCTCCCTCTGTCACACTCCCTTTCTCTTCACGACCCTCCTCCGGCTGATCATTGGTCTGTCTTACATCATCTCTCTCCCCACCCCTCGGGATTATCCTAATCCGATTTGGGATATTACAACACTTAATCGCAGGAAATAAATTAAGATGGAGTAAAACGCCTGAGTTACACTTCTGCTTAGTTACGTGGTTGAGGCCATGAAACAGCTTGTTGTGGCTTGACGAGGCCTATTGTTACCTGGAATAACTGTGGAAGTATTAGATCCATTACTTTGCTACTTACATGTTTTATATGTACTTGATTGTGCGTACCAAGTAGGCGCTGGCATGTTCAACGAAACAGGATGTCGATCAACGACCATATCATCATTACATTGCATAAATGTATGTGGAAAGTCTTTCTATGTGTTGTCTAACAGGGAGCGCGGAAACGGAGGACATTGCTGACATGAGATAGACTTGTATGGAGTTCATGCCAACCTATATACAACATCTCATGTTATTCATCTCAGTATAATTTGTGACATTTACAGACCCATAACACTAGTCCTCAACAATGCCATGGTTTTTATTTCATGTAAATAGCTTTCTTATTGACAAGAGACACTTTTTGTAAAATATGAATATCATATACTTATCATGTTATTTAGGGAGCCCCGTGCGGTTTATGGCTGGCCCTAGTGGCGGTATTAGAGTGTGGCCACGCTTGGCGTGACAGGGAGGGAGGCTAGGGAGGCTGGGGCGGAGAGACTGGGGGCTCGGTAACGCTCTGAAAGTTATGAAAGGGGATCTGAGCGTTGAAACGACATGCAGGAGGAGCGAGTGATGTGGGGGGCACCCGAACAAAGCCTCCACGTTATATGGAATCGCCATTCACTTCTTAGCTGTGCCAAGATTGAAATTTTAATCATGTTACGGTGTCAGGGTGGACCAATGAGAACGCTTGCCGTGTTTGATTGACAGCTGGTCGTTTGCTGCCTTCAATCATGTGAGTGAGGAAGCAGCGCTATGCACAGTGTTCGGCTGTGGGGAGCAAACAGAGACAAGGGCTGGCTGAGGAAGTTGCCCTGAAGATGCCAGCATTTGGCAGTGATGGTTACCACTGCAGCAATTCAAAGTCATCAGAAACTCTAGGAACATTTTCTTCTCTTTCCTTCAGAAAACTGGATTATACATCAGTGCTATGAGCAATGGCTCGACGCCGATGGTGGCACCGCGGGGTCCTCTTACTATGCCTACAAGCCATGGTCGCATCAGCACTGGACATGTGGTGGTATGTATACCCAGACTCCCATTCACCCCCGTCCTCTCTCCTCACAGCGAAACACTCCTAGACAGGTCAGAAAAAAAACTTCTATCCCTTCCCGAGATTTCAGCAGTTGGGGGGTTTTATCGATGTAAATATCACCCGTAGCATTTTGCATAGAATTCGATAGCGGTGTTATGTAGGTGTGTGTGCCTGGGTATAACTTATACGGATCAACTAAGATAGCTAATCTCAAACCTGAAAACTATTCGGGTTGGCCGACACCTATGTTCGTTATTTCCACTCACCCTTCCCGAGTGTTAGGTGTGTTTCGCAGCTTGTGTTGTGATGAAAGAGGCGTGATTGAACTTATAATACCATGCAGCTATCGTTAATACACAGTGGCCAAGACTTCCGCGAAATATGAGAACACATCTTACAGAGTGATCTATATACCACTGTGTTCTATATTACACTGTGTTCTATAAGTTACAGTCGTCTATCTTACTGTTCTATATTATACGGTGTTCTAATTTACAATCCTCTATCTTCTTACACAGTGTTCTATCTAACACAGTGTTCTACCTCACAGTGTTCTATATTACACTGTCCTATATTACACAGTTTTCTATACTGCACAGTGTTCTATATTACATAGTGTTCTATATTACACATTGTTCTATATCACACAGTATTCTATGTTACACAAGATTCTATATTACACACTGTTCTATATTACATAGTGTTCTATATTACATAGTGTTCTATGTTACACAGTGTACTAGATTACACATTGTCCTATATTACACATTGTTCTATATCACACAGTATTCTATGTTACACAATATTCTATATTACACACTGTTCTATATTACATAGTGTTCTATATTACATAGTGTTCTATGTTACACAGTGTACTATATTACATAGTGTTGTATATTACACATTGTTCTATATCACACAGTATTCTATGTTACACAATATTCTATATTACACACTGTTCTATATTACACAGTGTTCTATATTACACAGTATTCTACAATACACATTGTTCTATATTACACAGTATTCAAAATTACACAATGTCTATTTTACATAGTGTTCTAAATTACACATTGTCCTATATTACATTGTGTTCTACGTAACACAGTGTTCTATATTACATAGTGTTTTATATTACAAAGTATTCTATATTTCATAATGTTCTATATTACACAGTGTTCTATAATAGCCGGTGTTATATATTACACAATGTTCTATATTACATCATGATCTATATTACATAGTGTTCTGTATTGCATAGTGTTCTATCTTACAGTGTGTTCTATATTACATAATGTTCTATATTACAACTTTCTGTATTACATAGTGTTCTATCTTACAGTTTGTTCTATTTTACATAGTGTTCTATATTACACAGTGATCTATATAACGGCCTTCTATCTTCTCACATACTGGTCTATCCTACAACACTCAAAACATAAACAACAGACTCACCGAAGGAGCGTGGAAGTGTGTATCCACTCTCTAAGGCACTACAAGCTGCACTCAATCCACGATTTCTGTAAACTTGTAGCTTGCACCTTGAACTGCAATATTTCTCCGATGTCGCCCATATGGTCCTGTCTTTTACGTGTTTGTGTTACCATCAATCGAATTCTCTGATTTGTAGGAATCTTGGCGTCCGGCCTTTCGACACGTGGAGGAACCCCCAGTTGTACATTCTAGGGGCCACCCCGATGTGCACCCAGTTGAAGGGCCTTTCCGCAGGGCAAACTAAGTTCTGTCAGTTGTATCACGACCACATGCCCAGCATAGGCAGAGGGGCCAAGCTGGGGATTGGAGAGTGTCAATATCAGTTCCGGTTCAGAAGATGGAATTGTAGTACAGTGGATGATACTTCGGTATTCGGTCCTGTTGTTGCCATTGGTGAGTACCCTTCAAATAGTATTACTATGTATGTATCGCCACTTGTGTATGCGGAGGGTAGAGGGGTGGGATGCTGGTGTGTGTGTGTGTGTGTGTGTGTGTTGGGGGGGGGGGGGGGGGGGGGGGCACTCCCTGTGTACACTCGCCAACACGCATCCCCAGGTACAGAGGGTGGTGGGGTGGGAGCAAGACATCTCCTCTGCTCTCTTTTCAAAACGTTTTCAAAATAACACATATATTTTGTTTTGTAAAATATTACCTTGGGCCTCTCATGCCTTGAAAATCCTTGCTTTCCTCAAATGAATTTTATACCTTGAGACGTATAATATTTAACAGATACATTTGTCAACATACTGGTAAACAACGTTGTATCCTGTTGGAGAATTTACAGGTACAAAATTATTTTGTCGTTTAGAGGTGGACCATATATTAAAAAGACATATTTCAAGGTTCAAATTATTATATCTTTTAAGAGGAAGAATGTTAGGTGGACACGTTTTAAAATACATCACAACAGTATTATGTTGAACGATGTGTAATCATATTACTATCTACAATAAATAGCAAATGACCGCAGCACAGCCGTATCGAGGCTAAGTATAATATCAACATGTATTCTCGTATTGTAATAATGTGAACTCCCTCTGTACTCCACTAGATTAAGGAGTGGACTATGAGGAGCCACACTACCGAATTCTGAACCTGTGAGCCTAATAATTTTGTGCAAACGTGTAATATCTAGACATAAAACATTCAGAAAAACACTTGAATCTGATACCAAACAGAAGCTGCTCACACAGTGAATAAGTGAGTTCAGGTTGTCACCGTCTCTCTGTGCAGCAGCGCCCTCTGCAGGTCGGTCAGTGTCCGTTCAGTCTATACTCAGACATATTATTGACATGTAGATATATTGTTATAATTTGAGATCAACCACATCGCCAAGGCTGATATACCAAGAATGATAAATCGGGGGAGTTTGAACCAGCAATATTTCTATGAACATCCTCTATAACAGACAGGCCTCCATATGCGTACAGCCTCGTAATGTCGAACTTGGATGTGTCGAATTCCCGGTTGTCTCGAAATCAACTTTCGTCCCTGCGAATTCTTTCTACATTTATAATAATTTATACTCTGATATGTCGAACTGGATGTGTCGAACTCTCTAAATGTATATAAACTACACACAGGGGCCAAACGTCGCGACCTGTCAATACACTACATCTAAATCGGTATTTGTATTTTATATTTGGACGTCGGTGTAGTAGCTATGGGTATATGCACCACAGCTGTGTAAGCATCTACCTGCCCTAACCTGCGCTGTTATGTAGCAAGTGAATACACTATTGTGCAAGGCGGAAATACGTAGATGAAACGCTTAAAGTGGAAAGATATTTTCTTTTTCATTGTGAATAGCCTGTCACATTTTCTAAACATAGAGGGAATTCTGTCTGATAACATACTCCACCCTTGCTTTTATCCGGGATCCACTTACATCATTTATAATGATTGTAACAGACACAACACAATCTGTTATCAATTTTATTATTTTATGTAATGTACACAACGCAATCTATTATATGTTTTATTATTCGATGTAATGCACACAACACAGTCTATTATATATTTTATTATTCCATGTAATGTACACAACACAATCTATTATATATTTTATTATTCCATGTGATGTACACAACACGATCTATTATATATTTTATTATTCCATGAAATGTAAACAACACGATCTGTTTCATATTTTATTATTCCATGTAATGTAAACAACACGATCTATTCGTAGTATTTACTATTCCATGTAATGTACACAACACGATCTATTATATATTTTATTATGACATGTAATATACACAACACAATCTATTATATATTTCATTATTCCATGTAATATACACAAGACAATCTATTACATATTTTATTATTCCATGTAACGTACACAACACAATCTATTATATATTTTATTATTCCATGTAATATACACAACACAATCTATTATATATTTTATTATTCCATGTAATATACACAACACAATCTATTATATATTTTATTATTCCTTGTAATATACACACCACAATCTATTATATATTTTATTATTCCATGTAATGCACACAACACCATCCATTATATATTTTATTATTCCATGTAATGCACACAACACAATCTATTATATATTTTATAATCTATGTAATGTACACAACACAATCTATTATATATTTTATTATTCCATGTAATGTACACAACACGATCTATTATATATTTTATTATTTCATGTAAGGTACACAACACGATCTATTATATATTTTATTATTTTATGTAATGTACACAACACAATTTATTATAAATTATTTCATGTAATGTACACAACACAATCTATTATATATTTTATTATTCCATGTAATGCGCACAACACAATCTATTATATATTTTATTATTCCATGTAAGGTACACAACACGATCTATTATATATTTTATTATTCTATGTAATGTACACAACACAATCTATTATATATTATTTCAGGTAATGTACACAACACAATCTATTATATATTATTCCATGTAATGTACACAGCACAATCTGTTTACATGATTAATGATCACAACAAAGTATATTTATATGATTTATTATTCTATGTAACGAACACAACACAGTATACTTATATGTTGTAATATTATATTGTATTATGTATCGTACATCCACTTCGGTACTCGGACAGAAATAAACACCGATGTTCATTGCCCTCCACGTGGTACTTCAAGTTGTGAATGAAACTGTATGTAGGCAATGTGAGGACGCATCTCCGACACCCACAGCAGTCTATAAATCAGGATACACAAACATGACATTAACAACACGAATTCCTGCCATTAAATACTCCAAGGTTCTTTGTGTACTTAAAGATCCTAGTTTCATTATTCACCGAGGTAGGACGTTCTCACAGCCCGCCATATGCTGGCTGTCGCAGTGATCCTGAACATCTTCAATGCAGTTGTAACTGTCACAGACAAAAGCATTCATTATGTACATACTTAATGCCGGTGGTGACATTGACACCGTCTTCATCAATAAGATGGCGCTCACACGACTAATTAAGTGGCAATGCATGTCTATTATTTATAACCATAGGACCCAGTCATTAAGGAATGTCTTCAGACAATTGGGTGGCTCATGTTACAACTCCTGCTGTAACAAAACATGTGCAGATCATTGACAGCAGGTTAGGATTTTTAGAACGTTTCAAATGAATAAATAATTCAGGGACTATTTGACGGGACGTATGACTGGATAGTATTCTGATTTGAAAGAAACCAATTTGTGTCTTCATAATACTACAAAAAGCCAGCTGTTCAGGCGTATGTGTCCCTGGTGTTATTCAGGACTTGACTTGCGGCACTATTGCGACGAAACAAAGAAACAACATGCGGTATGACCCGAGATGAGAAACTGTTTAATGAAACAAAATGAAACTGATGTGAAACTAAGTGCAAGTGGAACGTGAAACTATGTAAAACCAGGCAGGTAACAGTGAAACTATGTAAAACCAGGCAGGTAACACTACTGAAAATCAAGTACCCCTAATCCACCAACACACTTGATCTCCTCTCAATCCACCAACACTCTTGATCTCCTCTCAATCCACCAACACACTTGATCTCCCTCTCAATCCACCAACACACTTGATCTCCTCTCAATCCACCAACACTCTTGATCTCATCTCAATCCACCAACACACTTGATCTCCTCTCAATCCACCAACACTCTTGATCTCCTCTCAATCCACCAACACTCTTGATCTCATCTCAATCCACCAACACACTTGATCTCCCTCTAAATCCACCAACACACTTGATCTCATCTCAATCCACCAACACACTTGATCCCCTCTCAATCCACCAACACACTTGATCTCATCTCAATCCATCAACACACTTGATCCCCTCTCAATCCACCAACACACTTGATCTCATCTCAATCCATCAACACACTTGATCTCCTCTCAATCCACCAACACACTTGATCTTCTCTCATGGTATTTGCATCTGTTTCTATCAATGGCATGGTATATGCACCTGTTTTTATCAATGGTATGGTATATGCACTTGTTTCTATCAATGGTATGGTATATGCACCTGTTTCTATCAATGGTATATGCACCTGTTTCTATCAATGGTATATGCACCTGTTTTTATCAATGGTATGGTATATGCACCTGTTTCTATCAATGGTATGGTAAATGCACCTGTTTCTATCAATGGTATCGTATATGCACCTGTTTCTATCAGTGGTATGGTATATGCACCTGTTTCTATCAATGGTATGGTATATGCACCTGTTTCTATCAATGGTATGGTATATGCACCTGTTTCTATCAATGGTATGGTATATGCACCTGTTTCTATCAATGGTATGGTATATGCACCTGTTTCTATCAATGGTATGGTATATGCACCTGTTTCTATCAATGGTATGGTATATGCACCTGTTTCTATCAGTGGTATGATATAAGCATCTGTCTGTTTCTGTCAAATGTACGGTTATTGCAATATAGAGGACGGGGAACTATTCACAGCATCTGTCAAATCCCTCCCCATCTTCATCTCCTCCTGGTGCCTGGGGATGCTTGGTGCTCCCGCTTGCTACAGTCGCCTGCTTCCGTCGTTAGCAAGTTCATTTCTCACATATAATGTGATAGTAAATATTATTGCAATATTACATGTATGTTTCCTGTGTAAGCAATAATGTATCTTGTTGGTGTTATGGACACCGGAACATTTTCGAAAACAGATTTGTGGTTTCTCAAAACATACTCTGTGTATGCATGAGACGTTTCGTGATCGTCAAGGAAACATTTTAGCATTAGCCTCTGGGTTAACCGCATTCATAAACATTTCATATTAGCTAGTTTGTAAACATTATATGAACATTTACATGGACGTGTACACAGAAATTGTATTTCCTTTTCTAATGCATTAACCATGGCTGTGTG